AAGCGTTCTTATCTAAATCACTGTGTTCTCTTGGATAATAAAATATAGCAAACACAACAGACCCTGGAGCTGTTCAGAGCATGTGACAAGATTTAAACACACTCCAAATTGTGCAAAAGACTTGAATAGAAAAAAAGGTAGGGAAAACCTCTTAAATATACACAAATTCAGCCATTTTTAATTACTTATATATTGTGTAGTCATATATGTACTAAAGGCATGTTTTTCCTCCTAGAAAAGGTTGCACATGTATTGACAAAACTTGTGAGCCAGCTTCATGGAGAAGATGGATAGAGTTAAACTCTGCCTGATACCCCCCACATTCCAGAGGCTGTGCGTGCCGCGGGGTCATTCCAGAAGCAGCGCCTCCGTGGAATGCCAGACTCCTCACGACCTCTGTGAGTAACCCCTGGTGCAATGTCTGCAGGTCCTGAGAGGGTTTGCAACGTTGCTCAGGCCTTCCAGGGCTCTCAACTGTAAGAGCATATCTTGCTCCTACAAATCCATCTCCTCTGCCATGTCTGCTTCCATTGCCATGTATTTCCCAGGTTGCATTTTTCCCTTCATTTACCTTGCTTAAGTGCAAGTATTTTTGATATTCCTTTATGGAATTTCATCTTTGAGGGTCTGGATTAGCTCTCCTGTTAGAAATATCATTTGTGTTCTAGTCCTGTCATCCGAAGTGCTTGCAAAACCTCTACTTTGTATGTTGTCTCAGTAAACAGGAGTGTCGACTAGAATCAGAACAGGCCCTCTGACATTCCTATTAAAAGACCTGTCAGAGCTTAATGACAGTTGACTAATAGTGATATTTTACTATATTTTTACTAATAGTAATATTTTAGTATATTTTTAACCAGTTGTGCGTCCATGTTATGGTGATCTTATTTGCACTTTGATACTCTCAGTTCACTTACCTTATCAAAACCCTTTGAAAAACTATATTTCATCTACAGCTTCCCTTTTTTGAGCAGAACAGTTGTCTGTCAGTGAGGGGAATTACCCCATTTGGACATTTTTTACGTTAAATAAAGTGATTATACGTTAAATAATAGTGATTATTTTTATCTTTCAGAGGGCTTGGAAATTTGTTGTTTAGTAATTTGTTCTACTGTGTTTTAGGATGCTAAAGTTTTTGCAATATTTTATTTCATATAAGGTCATTTTTTATATAGTAACTTTCGGTTTATACTTGCCTTAAAAACACAGCTTTGTTTGTAGGGCTAAATGAGGTTCTGAAACAAAACTTGTCCATGCTAGTCATAGTTCTGCAATACTTACAGGGATCTGATAAATCTTTTACTGACACTATCCCACTGGCTCAGTTTGCTTCTCACTGCTTATCTTTTAGGTATTTTTTGAAGGCTAATTAATATTTATAAAATACTCTGAGTGAAACCTGCACATGAAAAATGCAGTAGAAATCAAAAACGTCATTATTGATAACTTGCTTTGAGAATGAAAGCCATATTGCAATCGCTATCAATGAAGAATTGCTAAGTATAAAAGACTATGGGGTCCAAAAATACTAGAGAAAAAGTGGCTGGTACAACTAAATTGAAGGTGAGAACAGTTGAATAACCTGATCAAGGAAGCCTTACACTGGCACAAGATGCAGAGGGTGGGTTTTGTTAATAATGCTTAGTACTGAATTAGTTTCTTTCTAGAAAGATAAAAATGTCCTTTTCAGTCTGTGAGTAATTAAGAATGAGGTTAATTACCATATGTAACATATTTTTAAAGCAATAAGCTTAGATAGACTGAAGAGCTGTAAATCAGCTGCCTAGAGAGATCTCATTTGTAATAAATCCTGATATTTTAGTGAAATTGCAGAAGACTGACGGTACTGAACCAGTATTTAAGGAAAAAAAAAACTGAAACAAAGCAAAGCAAAACCCCAGCAAGCAGGATGACCCAGCTAGCTGTATTATGGTTAACATGACACCAGTCTAGAACAAACACAGTTCCAAAGCTGATACTAAGTGAGGTAGTAAATGAGTCAATAATTGGCAACAATTTTACTTTTACTAGCATTATCTTCTTGAGAAATCCAAATTAATTTCTTAATAAGGATTCCTACTGGGTAGTGTAGATATGACAGCATGTTTCACAAAGCATTTGACCTACCATTTGATTTCGATCTTAGCTGAGTTCAGTATCACTACCTAAGCCTGCCAAATGGATAAAAAGTGGCATTATTTGCAGAACTGAAAAGACAGCCAGCAATGGAAGATCATCACTCAGTAGCAGCAATTGTTTCAGCATTGTGGGGCTTAGCAGTAGCCTGCTGTTATTTAACATTTATGAGAGCAAATTGAAAAAAAAAAAGTCAACTCATAGTGCTTTAGGCCTGAGAAAAATAATTTAATCTTCAGGTATGTGGACTACATATGTAGAGACATTTCATTGGGGTGCGCCAGTGTGGGTGCAGAGCAGGACTTGCTTTTGCGCTGTGATGCAAAGCAGGCACTTACCAAATCAGGTCAGCTTTAGCTGAGGATGTCTGCAGTCATTGGTAACTTTGATCTTTCTTTTCCCTAGTTCACCTTCACTGCATGCTTTTGTAGTCTGTTTTTAGGGCTTTGTGATTTTTATTTTTGTTTTTGTTTTATCTAAGTTATCCCAGACAGTTTGTAAATATTAAAGCATCCCAGGTAACTTTTCTGAATGACAGAAAGGAGGTAAACTACTGCAAGTACAAAGCAGCTACACAGAGCAAACAGTGGCTTGGGAAGACTGGCCCATTTAAATGAAGATTTTAAATGCAGCCAAGTCCAAATCAATAAACCTAAGTGGTAAGATCACAGTTCACAATTCTGTAACCCGGGAGCTGTATCCTGGAACAAAATAATGTCAATAAGGATTTAGAAATCCTAATACACTGTCACTAAAGGCATGCAAACAAACAAAATGATACTGGTAGAGAAGTGGGCAATGCAGAGTGGGACAGGTGTGTGGAGATGAAGGGACATAGTCCTTCCTGTGTGTCACCTCCAAAGCTGACGTGGAACAGGGTTTTGATGTGTAAAATTTAGGGAGGATTGGTAAAGGCACAGAAGAACCATCAATACAGTCTGAGGAGAGAGGAAATGTCTTATAATGATGGACATAAACAAAACAGATGGAGCTGCTGCTCAAAATGGAAATTGTGAAGCTTTTTCATTACATATATATGCTACTGAGCAGGAAAACAGCACTGAATACTAAACAACTCTTTAGTACAAGAGGATTTAGCAAAAACAATCATTGAAAGCTGAAGAAAAACAAATGTTAAACTAGGGATAATCTTTAACACTGAGGAACTGTTGAGAGCATTGGCTAATTCTCCATTGTTTGAAGTTTTAAATAGGACTGAACCTTTTCCTGGAAGGTAATGTATATTTGAATAAAACAAAACAGAATCAATCCAGGAGTAGCCAAAAAGTATGGAACAGCTTCTATGTTAGGAACAACTACATGTTTCTTGAATTTTTGACTTACAAAATTGATAATTTAGAAGAAAACAATGTCATAATAAGTGTTTTTAATAAGCCATAGTGCCTTATTTATTTAATTCTGAAGTTTTACATGAATTGGAAGGAGACTGGACAAAACCAAAAAGCCAAATCCATCGGAGTTATTGAATAAATTCCACATCTTGTTCAGGAAATCTTGTGGTCTGCAAAGTGTTGGGGTCTGAGAATTCAGAGTATCATTCATATTTGAACTCTTCTACTCTGATTCAGATGTTTTTTCAATCATGAAGGACAGGAAAGCGCAGAGTTTAATGAAACAGGGGAAGAAAGACTAGCAGGGCTTAGCAAAAGGCCAAATTCTTGTTCCTTCTTTTAAAACAGTAGAACTGGCAAATTGCATAAACATAAAATACAGATGTGACAAAATATCTCTCTAAAAACAATTCTGTGCTAGTCAGAATTATTTCATTGTTAAAGACACTAAAGAAGCCGGTGGGAAGCAGAGCATGACCTAATGGGTCTAGAATTACTATCGCAGCTGTGTGAAACCTCAAAAATAAATAAACATCCCAGCGAAGAGAGTGTGCCGGATTTTTGACATTCTCCTGGTTTAACCGGATGTGCGAAGCCCTGGGTTTAACTGTGGGCCACATCCTTAAAGACCACGAGGTGCCCAACTCCACTGCAGGCACTGCTGATTTTGAACGTGGCCTCCCCGGATTAAGCCATTCCTATCCTTGCACAGGGGACATCACCGTGAATCTGTACAGAGTGACCTGTTTGCTTTCCAGTCTTGTCAGAGGGATTATGGAAGTGGAGGTGAAGTCAGGATTTTATTCATCTTTACTTACAGAGCCCCCTGGGAATGCTGCAGATTTGGGGCTTGCTTTGACAGTAACAGTGATGCTAGGAAGTGGAATTTGCTGGCAGGAGAAACTTGATTGCAGCCCTCCCGAGGGAACATTTGCATTTGTCAGAGATAACTCTGTTTGGAATCATTCAGTGTGATTAATAACACCCAAAATTAACCTTCTAATTCACATTGTAGGAGAGTTTTGTGTGGATACTGTTTAAGGTGAAAGGCCAGCTCAATAATCTATGTATACCATGTAGTGGCAATATACATATCCAGGGATTTATGTAATATATAACACTCCTCCATTTTGAAAGGATAAGTTTGAGATACAAACTAAATAAATCTTCAATTGTCAGTAACCAGTCCCTGACGGCCTCTTTCTGCCTGCAACATTTCTTCTTTATCGGAGCAGAATCTGGCGCACAGGAGCCTGTGACAGAAAAGCTGTGTGTCTGCACAAAGGATTTTGATTGAACATTTTGTGCATTATGGGCACGGCTTTCCAGAGATTTGGAGTTCTCACTGTTCCACCCAAAGTCCACAGGAACTGCCTGTGCCTCTCATCTTTGAAAGCCGAGCCCTGCGTGTTACCTTCTCGCTTCCAGATGTTTACTTCAAGTCACAAGATTGCACCTGTGCTAACCTGCTAGGGACTTTTGTGACGCAGTTAAAAAAAAAACAGAGAAAGATTAATATAAGCAAGCACTGATTTATTATGTTTTCACAAATAAGGGGTAAGGCAGACTGGCACGGTGCACTCAGCCTGGCCCCCGCAAGCATTTCTCTCCTCCTGACACACATCCACCAACATTCATCTCGTCTCTCCCCCTTGCTCTCGCTTCAGTTTCTGCAGCTTGCGGAGCTTCCTTTGGCAGGCCCGCTCCTCGCTGCTGCTCACGCTGGAGCTCTCCTCCGAGCTGTCCGAGAGGAGATACTTGGCTGCCATCAGGTCCTTCTCGTTCATTTGCAAGCAGAGGCAGGAGGATTCGCTCACCTTAAATGACTCCCCCCACATACTCTGGCACATGTCGGTCCCGTTTGCATACATCTGGATGTCAAATAAAAAGTGCAGCAATTACACTTAAAAATAATGGAGTAAAGTTAATTTATATTAGATTGGTTAACACATTTTTTTTTAAATTGGTACTAAATGATATTTATATATAAGAACAAGCTGCAGTCGTCCAAACACTCTCTTGCTGTGTGCCATGCCTCATCACTTCTGAGAGATCTTAAAACATTACTCAGTCTCATGGCTGATATTTGGATATTTGGCTAGGATATTTGCCTGGCGCGAGGGCAAGGCATTAAACAAAGCACAAAGTGATGGATGGCGCAGCCCTTTGTTCCCAGCCAGGCCTGGCAGCCCCGGCCGCGATCTGGGGCTGACGAACGCCCGCCGTGTGTGAGCTGCGCAGCTCGCAGTGTGTCAGGACGCTCTGACACGTCCTGGGACGGGCACCAAGTGCCACGCTGGCTGCTTCCAAAGCTGGAATTTTTTCCCCTACAGGCCAGGGAGCCCAGTGGATTCACCGCTCTCTGGGATATCTCTGTGCCGGATGCACATGGCAGGACTGGGCAGGACCTCACAGGTGAAGAGGAGGGACAGGGTCCAAAATCTGCTCAAAGAAGGAAGGCAGACAACCTGCTTCCCCAGCCTGCCCTCAGAGTGCTGTGTCTGCAGTGCACAGAGCTTTCTGCTCAGGAAAATGTAAACTGCAGCTCCCCGTGCTCCCTGCAAGTGAATGTGTCCTGTTCTTGGTACGACCTCGTTCTGTAAGGCTTCTCCATCATAGCACCGGTGCGACCGTGCAGCAAGGAAGCATCTTGCTTGCCAAACTTACAGCACAGCAACCTCCTGTCCTCCCAGATGGGGTTTGCCCAAAAAGTATGAGATTTGCCGAAAAAGTCTGAGCTTGACAGTTTTCATGTCCAGCGGCAGAGGGATTCGCACGTTATCTTGCCTTCTCTTCTCCCATGTGTTTGAAGTTCAATCTTTTCTAGTTCAATAAAGACTATATATATATATATAAAATAGAGACTGTAGATACTCCCAGAAGCCAAGGAACAAAGTCGTGGGCAGGGATGATGCCTGGAGTGGAAGCCTTGTGAATTAAGGATAGGGAGTGTTGCTAATGGAGTGGGACAGGATAACAGGAATGCTGGGCTCCATTACACTGTCATTGATTCACTTTGCCACCTTGCTCGTGTCACCAGCACCTCTCTGGAGAGAGCAGTGTTTGATCTGTGATAGTACAAGTAGTCTTTGTGCATGACACTGATTCTTTAATCCTACGGCATTTCTCTTAGTGCCGTCATTTCTGGATAGTGTGCTGGGTCACCCCTGTCACCAGGGTATATAAAGACCTGATTCCGTGCTGTCATCACATAACCTTGCACAACTTGCCCTTTCTTTATGCCCGGGACATTTCTGCAAGAAAGGAGTGCAAAAAAAATAGTGCAAAAATATATATATTGCAAACCATTTGGAGGTGGGAGTGGGCCTGGTAGCTCTGCAGCTCCTTCTGCTCCAGCCATCCTCACAGCAAGCTCCCCGTAACCGATGTCTCCATGTGTCCCTGCACCTGGGCTGTGCAGGCGGGCAGAGGAGATCACAACCATCCCTTGACTTAGACATCTGCCCTTTATGAATAATACAGAGCCCATTGCACATAGCCCCAGAGGCTCTGTAGGCTGCAAAATAACTTTTCAGGTTACGTTGGCTCTAGCAGGGGCTCATTCTGTGGAAACTGCAGTTGCTGGAGTAACTGCTTAAATCAGAGTGTAGCCAGAACCTTGCAGCAACCAAACAGTCCACAGCCCCCTTATCAAACCTGCCCCTAAATTACTGCAAAGGCTTCTAATGCCTCAGCTTCTTGGACAATGTGCTAATCTGTGCACTAGCATCGCTTGGGGCATGCTCTGCTGGGAAAACAGTGATATAGTGTGCCTCGTAAAATTTAAGGCAGACCAAATTAGGCAAAAACCGACTGTGATGCATTGTACATTCTTAATATTTAACATTTGTTCCAAATCACAGCTCTAGCAATGCTCCCCATTGACACAGCTGTAGGTGACCATTCTTCATGGATTGCAATGGAGGTCTAATTCATTCTATATATCATTTTAATTAGTCCTAGTATGGTGCACATTTTCTCTTCACTGTACCTCCCTGTATCTTTTGTATCTCCCTGCTTGCATTTGTTTTTCCATATAGCTATTATACACTCATTTCTTTAGTTCGATCACTTCTCTTGTTCTCTAATGACAAGTCTCTATGTCTACAAACTGAAAGTTAACTAGTACATAAAATGGGTTAAGACTGTGGGTTATGAGGAGTTATGAGTTATGGGATAGCTGTATGCAACAGTCAGCTGCCACTGTCAGTGTGGTGGAGAATAAGGTAACAACAGTGCTGTACATGTTAAAATAACTCTGAATAGAGGAGGGGACTTATCTGGGTGGGATAAGGAGCCAGAGATTTTGGAAATATCGAATCTGAAATCTGCAGGCAAAGAAATACAATTTACTCCAGTTACCTGCCCAGTAATCTTAGATTTCATGAGTTTGAGGCTGAACAGTTGTAAGGCTTTATAAAAACCTCTTTTTGTGTTATTTCCAGCCTTCATCTCCTGTGATCTGCAGATCAAGTCTGAACAGCCAATAATTCAGGTAACAAAGTTATGGACTTTTAGAGCTATTCTCAACTAAACAAATTTCATAATATTTATTCATCCAACAAAAAAAAAATCACAAACTAGTCTGGATATGTCATTATTAAGCTAAGCTATCAGTTAGTTGCTCCACTGGGACATGTATTAACTAAATATATTAGGATATAGAAGGTATGTATAGATAGAAAGTAGATATATATGATATATATTGGGATTGAAGACGTCTCAGTTTTATCTGCAAATAAATGGTTATTGCTTGAAAACTGGTGTAGCGCAGCGGGGAACTTACTTTGAAGAAATATCATCTTCACTCTTACTTATCATACAAGCTTATTTTGGTGAAAAACATAGGCAGTTTAGGGTGTGGTTCCATGTTTAGGAATGGCTGTGTCTGGCCTTAAGTGATAAGACTTCTGGATTTACTGCATGCTTTTCCCTCTAAATAGTATATTTTCTTTAATAAACTAATACAAATGAATTCAGGGTTGAAACCTATCTCTGAACCAGGGACAGTGTGAAGAGAGACTGGAGATTATTTATAGAGATAATTATTTGTCATTTGACTTTTACTTCAGGGGAGCTACTGCTGAGTTAGCACATCTGGGAAACTCAGCTGTTAGTTTCCTCAGCCACTTGTTTTTTGGCCACCTTCTTCCCCCTGATTAGTGTCACTGCTGTAAGGCAGCCACCCGTCCGGTGCTAACTTGACCGTGACTTCCACTGATATCAGTTTCCAAACTGACTTCTGTACATACAAGAACTTGAACTGCATTCAAACCACTGAATCTCAGATCTCTGCAAGCCTAGTCACCTGTCCTTAACCACTGCCCGTTATCCCTATGGTGTTTTGAACAATTTGCCTCTTCTCAGTGAAGCTCACCTCTTAATATGCAAATAATTATAGCAGACTTGAGCTGTATAGACTTGCCCTCATCCTGAACTTAAGTATGTCACCAGAAAAACTCTTATCTCACACTGAAAAGGTCTGTGGATCAGGTTCCAGGCAATTTTGTTCCTGGAAATTGTGTCAGTCCTCATTTTATACACTTTTGTTCATAAAATTTATTATCCCAACTACTAAACTTTCTCAGAATGATGGGCTGCACTCCCAGAAAGCTGTCAGTGCTGCTCTTTAACCACCAGAGAAGGCTGGAGAGAACAAATGTAGCTCTGTCTAGCCCGCTGCAGACACAATGGAGAGCAAGCTGCAGAGACATCGTAGGGATACGGAGAATAAAGTGGAGATAATTAGAAGAATATAAAGAATTTGAGAGGAATTTGGAGAATGCAGCACTTGAATATAATAATGTAAAATAGAGAAAAGGGCAAAGAATGTCTGATAGGTAAAGAAACCTTACAAATGTCATATGATTTGGGAATATACATCCCAGTGTCAAAAGAGAGGGGCATGTAAAGCCTTATGTCATGTAAGGAGCTTTGTAAAAGGTGACTCAATGTCTCTTTCTGTTGTATGACCAAAGCCCATTTATATTTTACTACCTAAGCCCTACTATTTTTAACATACCAAGGCTGCTTGAAATTTATCATTGAACTTCTACTTTCTTTTCCCAAATAGTATCAATGGGGATAAATAAATGTATGATAAATGTATGTATACGTGTTTAGAGAGACAGAGCTACAGAAATATAAAAGTTTTTAAATGTATACTTCTAAAAAGTCTGGCTGTAGCTTGAAATTGCTGAAATAATAGTCATTGCATTTTACACTCACACATTCAGGCAACCCCCCCAGACTTTTAAAAGCTTATTTGGTTGACCAGGTTTCCTTACCTCACTGTATGGGATGCATTTACTCTTACAGTGGTTTGCTCCGCTTTCGTCCCATTCCCAGTCGGTCAGCCAGTTACGAACACATATGGAATCATCTCTGCAGGCTTCATACCTTCATGGAGGTATTGTGGAAGCAGAAGTTATTCTCCTGGTGTTTTCCAACTCAAAATGTTTACGTGAGCAATGCCAGTAACGCAGAACGACCGCACAGCACAGCTGAGCAGTGCCCATTATCATAACCTTACATGTAAGTACACTCTGAATGGCCAGGAAGAGCTAAATACCAGTGAAAATTAAACAGTTTGGCTGTTGCATTTCATACTCACAGATAAGAGCTCACTTAAAAAGGGCTTATGTTGTGAGGAGAGCAACACTCACTGCTGCTAACGCTCGCAGGTGGTACCGAGTGGCAGAAGTGTTTCTTGCGTGGGAGGGAGCTTTACTGGAAAAAGGGGAAACCCATAAGCAGAAGATCATATAAACTGACAGGGTGTCAGCCCTATTACTTTCAAAGAAGTTAAGCAGGAAGTGAAGAAGGAAAGTTAAAGATCATGTAGGATACAGAGGCCAAAATGTTTATATTTTGAGGTGATTTTTTTTAGTGATAACATAAAGAAAAGCCTGGAAATAGGCTAGAACTTGTAAGGGTGTAACTGGTAGGTCTATGTAATGAGGCATCACATGGCTTATTATCTTAGATTGTTTCCTTCCTTCAACCTCTCTGTTCTACTCTTTGGCTCTCCTTTACTCTCACCTTCCTTAAGGATCATCTTCTGCAAATAAATTAACATTTTTAATTTAGTCTCAGTGGCTTCAGGCAGATACCACTAAATAAAAGTGCCCAAAAGCATGAGCTTCAATGTTAAAAAATTAAGAGTATTTCCATATGATATTTACAATTAATATGTTTGGATTTCTCTTGTTTTTCTGTATCCTTTTTTAAATCTTCAGGGTCATGTTTTCAGCATTGATTTGAAATCAGGAGGACTGCAAAACTTGTTTTTGAAGTGAAAGATGAGGTTAGCACGTATTCACCTAGCTACAGGAGCTAGACCTTGCAGCACATCTGCACATGCAGCAAGGTAAGAACATGCACAGCTGAGGAATATTCACATGTTAGAGCTTTCTGTGCTACAGACCATCTTTACTGTGTAGTGCCTGGAGAATTAAGTCACAGCCTGCACCAGGTGTTGGTTCTAGGTGTTGGTTATTACAAACACAAGCACTAATTACAAGAGCTTAGAGCAGTACAGGCACATTTGAAACTGACCTTTAGTACTTTTTACTGAAGTGGTGGCTAAGTGATTTTAAGTATGTTTGCAGTGCGGTGCACACAGAAACTGTACAACAGGATTAAAATGTTCCTGCCTCTTGTTTTCCAGTTGAAATCAGTTTCAAAAGTCAAGATTTATGCTGAAAGACTGATTGGATGAAAAAGTCCATTGTGACTCAGTGACTTATTAAACACCTACATTGCATAAGTTCAGCTTTTCAAAGCTGCTCTTTGACACAGTGCCCTGAACACTAGAAAACAAAATCCTACATATTTCAGTGGTCACAAGTCGTTGCTTTCTTTCCAAAACACTACATTTTTTTTTGTGTGTGTTTTCACCTTAGTGGCAGGGCGAGGACAGAGCAATGCCAAATGAAGTTTAGTCAGGATCTGAACTAAATGGGTTTAGGGTAGAAGACAGAGGTATTCCTGTAAGTGTTCATCCACGAATCTGCTGCCAGAGCTAGGGGCTCTGCTGGAAATACAGGCTGCTAAATTAACATAATTGCTAAATTAACATAATATGACACTAATGGGCAGGTCCTGCCAGTTTGTTCCATGACTGAATTTTGCAATAGGGACTATAAGAATAATTGGTTTGTTGGTTGTTAGCTGCTGTGTATAGAATGACCAAGACATAAATACAAAGGTAACTCCTCAGTGAGAGCTAGTTCTCCAATACTATTCACTTTACCTGCTTGCAGGCACATCATAGGAGCATGAACACAACATTTTTGTTAATCACCATCTATGAACTACCCACATACCAACATCAGATTCAGCAATTGCTCCAGATTTTACAGGCCATGTAGGCTTATCCTTTACTTTGAGTATGCACTTAAATCCATTGCTTTCTAACAAAGTCGCTCAATATATACCATGAATGGCCTAATAACACCACTTCCACTGGTAGCAGTTGTGCCCTTTTCTTGAGCTTTCTTTTTTTGTTCATTTTCTTTTCTAATTGGGTAGCTATTTTTCAGCTTGATGGTTTCTCTGATCAGGGCTGCCCTGCGGCCTCTCAGTCAGCGCTGCTGGCACATGAGTGAGGATGGGATAGGGAAGGAATGAGCAGCCCGGGTTGGGAGAGGCAGAACTGCTCCTTTTGAAGTCACTGTCACCTTCAGCTACACATTCTAAACTTAGGAATTTGTATTGCAGAGTTTTCCTGAGCTGAAGCATTTATGCCAGGGAATCTGCATCCTAGAAAATCTGAAATAGGTCTGTCTGGAAAGTATTTTTAAGTTTAGCTATTATTACCTATTGAATTGTCATGTTTCCTAGTAATGATCATTGCCTGATTCTGTAGTTTGTTATCTAAGCAGGCAGCAAGGCATAATTCTATTTTTATGTTTCTTTTTTCTCTAGTCATCTAGGAAGTAATTACAAAGCTAAGAAATTCTCTAAGCTGAGAAATTGTCACTTCAGAAAAATATGATTCCTGTTATTCAGAAAACCCGTAAGTAGTTTCTTCAAACATTTATTTAAACCTGTGAGAAACATGCACATAATTATTTAAAAGATCCTTTCTTAGCATACTAGCTGTCCATGCACACCTTATAAGATATTTTTATTTTAAAGGAGAATTGGCCTTTTCCCTTTTAAATGGCACAAGGTCATTTCCCAGGTGGATCAGAAAGCGCGTTGCCTGTAAGGCTTTTTGAAAAGCAATAGTTTTAGGACTAGTGGGAGCAAGGAATCCTAAGACAATAGGAAGAAAAGGAAGGCCCTAAGCTAGTCTGATGAAATTCTTTTAAATGAAGTCACTGCTCATTCAGAATCCCGTGCACATTTCTGGCCACAAAGCCATACAGTATGCAGCAGCACATTCACGGCATGCAGAGAAAGTAGGTCACTTCACCAGCAGTGCTACAGCACGCTAAAAGGACTCCAATGAATAGAACGTGAAAAAATGTTACTTTAAATTGCCAGAAGGAGTGGGAAATCTGTCCAAGCTTTTTTCCTAGCCTCTGGCCTTAAGCAAGGCGAGGACAAGGGATTGGCGCTGGCATCGGGCAGGCACGCGGACTCGCATGCACGCTAATGGGTCATCTTTGCATGTTTGATTCAGGCTAGGCATCTGTGATGCTACCAGGGGCAATAGATCATTGTGCAGTGTTTGTTTGGAGAAGAGCCTCCTCTGTGCCGGGAGACTCAGGCCTGGAAAAGGGACTGGTTTTCCCATACAGCAGCTCTCCATGTGCTGCAGCGCATACACTTCCCAATAACAAAAGCTACAGAGTGCCGTTTACCTGGAGGTTCTGGAATATCACAAAACCCTCATTTTTGCGATGTAATATTGAGCCACAATATACATTGGGGGCATATGAGATTTCTCATGTCTACTGAGGCTGCTTTAAATCACTGTAAAATTTGTCACTATAGAAAGACTTTTCAGTGGATGCAATCTGAATTTGAAGGCTTCTGACATCTTTATGCTTCTATTGGATATGGTAACTTGATGTTGGCTTTGATGTGATGACTGAAGTGGATTCTACGTACTTTATTTGAGATTTTGGCATTCTATCACTTTGTCTGTTAGACCTCATCTAAAGCCACAGGAAACTCCAATGCCCAAATATTCAAATCCTTTCAAATTTCATAATATTTGCTTCCAAGGTTCTCACTACCTAGTCAAACTCAGGCTCTCAGTTCTTATCTTCAAGGCGGCCAATAATCTGAATTCAGCTCAAAAGGTTACCAAAAACTGAGGAAGGAGGAGTGCAAGTGAGAACTCTGTTCCAGCGACACATGGAATTTCCTAACACAGTAATAAAATTCATCACTAGAGGAAATTCTAGGCAAGCTAATAAATATATTAGCCCTTATCACCATCTTCCATTGCAAATACAGGCTGTGTTTCTTTTTTCCTTCTCTGGCATAGAGCAATGCAGACAAATTTAAAGACATATCCTACCAAAACACTGTACTGAATACATTAGTTCCCCCTTGGACAGAAGATGAAAGAGAAAAATGGATCCATATGTCAAATATTAGTGAAGTTGCATAGGCACTAGGGAAAGCCCTGCACCGCACAGCACGAGCCATGCACTACCACGTGCTCTGTAAATTCTCTGCTTCCAAGAAAAGCTCTTGTATAACATTTTTAGAAGTATTAAAACAAATTTCCGTGATTTTTAAAGCAGACTAGGGGATTCAGACATCCACAGTTAATTATCTGAAGGCAAGCTAGCAGTCCTAATCCTATAGTGTGAAGACAGCCCGTGCTGCTTGTACTACGTTTCACACCAATTTACCCATACGGGCAAGTTACTGTGGTTACTAGGCACACACCCAAAAGACAGTATTAAGGTAGTGCTGGGTTTTATATACACAGGGATGACAGTAGTTTAAATCTAACATCTCACAACAGTCTGGCAGGCAGAGACATAGATTAGATACAGATTACTAAAAAGAAATATGAGCTCCCCATCTGGTTATAATGCTTCTATCCCAAGACTAAGGCAAGATAGGTGACGGGCTGTCCAAGTATTTGTAAGTCCCCAACCCTTTATTTGGGCGATAAAATGAAATGCTGTTATGCTTGTTCATTATTTTTAGCATTAGTTGGCTGACAGTTTCTCTGAAAGTCAGGCTTTGAGACTTGGTTTTAGCAGAGAGGGATATTGGGAACAGAGAGGAAAGACCAAAAGAAAAAATGGACCTAATTTGTTAGACACATGAATTTAAAACCATAGAGGAAGTGGCTGTTTTTGTGATTTCACACTTCATACACAGAGGGATAAAAGGAATATATCACAAACAAGTTTTTAGAATTAAAATGCTACCTGCCTAATCTGTATTTCAAAATGCAGACCTAGATTTTTTGCAGTGCTGCTAGTGGCCCTCAGCGTGGGGAGAGCTGCTCCGTCACATCCCGCAGCGCTGGTGCCCAGAGCAGCTGCCTCACTGATGGGGAGCAGGGCTGGGCTGCCCCTGACTCCCTAAACTACGACCGAGACAGGCTCCAACCTGCTTCAACTTCTGACATTATTATTTGGGAACAGTAACTTAACGGAGGAAAAAGCTGAGGCAACAAAAAAGGAACAAGGAAATCAAGTGGCAAGTAATAACAACGATACAACATTTACTGCTGCTGCTTTCTTGGGAGCTCTGGGTTTTCTCTGCCTGAGTAATAGAGAGGTATTAAGGCTAAATTGTCATACTTTGATAAAAAGCTGAACCTACCAGTCATCACAGAAGCTTTGGCACAACGGGACAGATTGAATAGCAGCAGTGTAGCTGGGATGGATCCAGTGAGCGGCGTGGGGAGAACACCGGTAAAAGCACTCAATTTTCTTCGTGAAATCTTCACAGCTGTGGGAGGTGAGAAAAGCTACAAATGACCCTGTTTCTTAGTATCAAGGTCACAGCCCCTGTTTTCCAGGCCTGCTTTGATGTGGATGCAACATTACAGATTAAGGGAAAAAAAAAAAAAAAGCCTAGGAAATTATCCTTTCAGCCTGTTTGTGTCTAATTTCCAAGCTCATTCCTTTGGCACCATGCACAGACTCTGACCATGCAATTACCGTAGCCAACTGAAGAGTGCACAAATGTTTCCATGCATATTTCAGCCCTATTTGTGTAAGCTTTCCATAAACTTTTGAGGCCTTGAGCTTTCCTGGCAAGAATGACTCAAGGCAATAATAAAATGTAGCTTAAAAGTATAGTGCAAAACTTTTTCTAAGCTGTAGTCTCATGGTTTCTCGACTCTTTCCATCTTCCCACAGCCAGATGAAGTTGCTTAAAAACACATACTCTTGCAGCTCTTCTGGGAGGGACAGGCCAGAGCTGTTACTTTTGCACATCTGTTTTTGCTTAATTGTTTTGTACTTTCTTTTCTTTCTACAACTTGCCATGTTTCACAGCTCTAACATCTAACAGAGTACTAAAAATCTGCATTATGAAGACATTCTTCATGGTTACAAAACCCAGAGGACTCTGAGAATCTTTCTTATAAATATTCAGGAAGTCTTGTTTCTGTTCTCTTTCGTGCTTTTTGTTTGCCAGGCGTAGGCATGTAGTTGATCTGCTTTCTGAAGAAGCCCTGTCTGCATTAACCGGGGCTCCCTACTGCGTGGTGGCCGCCTTGCTCAGCTACAGAGGTGCTGTGGGGTTGTCACCCACTGGGTTTAGGACCCCTTTGCATTGCCCGACTTCAGAAGAACAGACAGGCCTGGTTCTAAAATGAAAGAAAACTTTACAAAGAATAACCCTTTCTTACAAAAAGGTAGAAATCACTCTGTGCAAAGAGTATATGCTTAAGGATGCAAGGACTTCTGTGAGAGGAGAAAAAGAGGAGCAGGACCTTGGTCTGGTGAATGGGAAATATGACGGGAGCTGGAGTGGGTGGCATCCATCATCTTTAGGGCAACCTAGCAACTTTCCGTCAGCAATTCCAGGGGGGAATTAACTAGCTGTGTAGCTACTATAGCAAATCTCCAACGAAACAGGACATAGACAACATCAAAGCTGACTTACGATTTACTGAGCTGCCCACATCTGTTCCAGTAGCTGTTGTTTATTTTAATTACTGGGGAATGAGCCAATTGCTCTGTGAAGCTTGCATAGCAACAGGAAGCTGTTAGGAATGAAACAAAGATCTTGCAATAAGGATTTTCTTTACCACTATATTTGGAAGACTACAAGTTTAAGATGAATCTTCTGTTTTGGCCAATAACGAGGTAAAATCTCTTGGTACTAATAGAACAACTACTCAAGCTCTTACATTTTTGGCTTTGGAAGTAGCAGCATAAACACTAAATAACATGAACTAGTGCTGATATTTCTTTGTAAAGATGTACAGCTCGCTCTCCTCCCTCCCCGCCAAGTACTTCAGTACTGTTTAGGCAAGTGTTATATAGTAAACGACATGAGTTTTGGAAGCTATCAAACATAACAAGAAAATTAAAGGAATATAATAAATATACCTGCTCTACTTTGCTTATTATGGAATTTTGATTGTAATCCCTTTCAGCTGATGTCTGCTACAACAAATTAATCAATGCTGTTTTTAATAAAGCCACATAGGGACGTACAGAGGGACAATAGCTAATGCACTAGTACAACCAAGATGGATGGATGTATGTTTTAAAATGTGTTTATACTTAATCAAAATAGGCTAAATTCATCTTTTCTGTAAACATGTTTAAGTAGATGTAGTTAAAGAAAGAAAAGCTCACAGCGAAATTTAAAAAATAATAAATAGAGGCAATGGAAATTTTACAATTGACTTCATAAGAATCAGGATTTGACTCTTGGCTTGAATGCAGCAAAATGCCAATGAGGGAAGCTTGTCAAATGCAATTTCTACTGCATTTTATATATTTTCAAGAAACAAAAGGAACTTCCAGGACAATTAGTGAGTACAAAGCTCTATTTCGAGACTAAAATTAAGCTAATCTTACATTCCGAATAGAGGGTGCATTCCTGCATGTTTGGCTCAGGACCTGGCTTCAGTTTGTGAGTTCCCCCGTCCAGACAGCTGTACTTTTTGCAGGTAGATGAAGTTATGACAGCGAAGAAGGCAACAGCAAACCTCAACATTGTTGCTTTTCCTATATGGTAAGAAGATTTTATTTATATCTCTTATTTCCAGGAAAAGTCACAAGCTTAGAGGAAGGGTTGCTTAAAAAAACCCACATATACATACACAACTAAAATGTGCTCAGCAAAGATGCATGTACAAATATTAACACACATATTTCCCTTTTCTCATTGCTCAGGTCTGAACACGTATATTTTTGCTATATATTTTTAAGGCTCAGCAGCAAGTGGTAAAAGCATTAACTATTTATGAAAAGCTATTTATGAAAGAGTGTTATAACTTTCAGTAGTATTTTCCATTCCTTTTGGAAGAATTTCATTTCTTTTTCTATTCTTTCTCATATTATTTTCACTTCCACTGACCACTGAAGAGACACTTTCTGTGCCTTGTCTGAAGTTCTTCAGAAGTAGCATCTGTGAGTGAACACTCCCGCTTCTGTAATGGATTTTTTTTTTTAATGGTGTTCCTTCCACATAGGCATACATATGACAATAAACCCTCAAATAATACATTAGGAATGGAGAGTAAAATTGAGTTAACTCTTTAAGAAAATCATTTCAAAGTTTAAAATTTGTTACACTGACTTGCATTTATCTTTGATTCCCCTTCCTAGAGGCCACTCATGAGATTTGAAAGAAAAATTGATCCCTTTTAAAAGCTGCAAATTTCCTTTGCGTGTTGGGCAACCATACATTTAATACAGTTACAAGTGAGCTAATGGAGTGTAAAATAGTGGTCAGCACCTGAGGTGGATCAATTAAGTAGATAACTTGCCTTCAGTGAGGCTTAGCTAATTTGTACTTTAGAATCTGGTCTGTTATTTTCCACCTCTTTTGTACCATTTATGCAACATAAGAATGTTTTGTCTGGGAGACCACAATTTCTCTAAATGCAGATTACATATTATTGAGCTATATAGATAAATCTATAACCTGCTACATAAATCAAAGCTTATTTTTTTATACATGTTATCAATTAAACACTTGCTTATTTAGTTAAATACTATATACCTAGATTTTTCAGATACAAAGAAAACGACATGTCACAGAAGGAGAAAACTATACATTTTCTCACTAATTTCTCACCTCTTGCTGTCCTTCTGGGTGATACTTCCCCTTGGAACAGGGACACAGTAATTTGCTTTTCTCATTTTCCCCTTTATATACACGCCATCTGGCAGCAGTGCTCCAGCAGTTGTTTGCCCTGGAAGAGTTCCTTGGCCTTTTGGAGTGCTAACATGGATTTAGCTCAAAAGCAGATGCGATGACCAGCACATAATGCCCTTTTATAGATTGCAAATGTGGACAAGGTAAACAGGAAAGTACAAACATAGGTTAAAATTGAAAGAAAAAAAAGGAAAAAAGTAGAAAAGCAACCCTCTCTTCTCAAATGCAGCTGCCCTCCCAAATTTATCAATGATTCCTGTTGTTATTAATTCTTAGTTTCATTTGTACAACAGTGTCACTGATTTCTCATCACATAAAAAGAGATTAGGACAAAAGAGAGATGTTAACATGTCACAGTTCAGCCTAACTGTCTTAACTTTGACTATAGATATGACAGCTTTCCTTGTGTTACATGCTACATTTATCCTGGCTCCTGGAAGAGAATTCATGTCTCCTGACTCCCACATCTTGGCACTTAGATCAAAAGATTCCCTTTAAATGTGCTGCTCTTTGCACCGGCTGATGCACCTGCCTTGTGTGTGACCTCCAATAGGTGTCACAAACACGACAAGAAACTTGTGTGCACCATTGATTCCTGCTTGGATTTCATGGTGAGATCAATTTTATGCAAGAAGGATTCCACATCTAAACATAAATGATCATATAAAGCAGACTTAGTGGGTAAAAATACTTGTACTTACTCCTGTAGATAAATCTCCCTGACATTTTCTAGTGAGCAATGCCACCGACTACCTCCAGATCATGTAGATGCACAAGGAACAAAATATCTGCTGTTTTTGTGTCTGAAACAGAATGGTACTTTGTCAGAGAGTACTATGGGGTCAGTAACTTGAAACCTTTTTTTCTTGGAAAAAAAAATGGCTTAATAGAAATGTTGTATGAATCTCACTGAGCAAACGCACCGAGTTTGATATCAAAACAATCTCTATAAGCACTGATTCCTATTCCAGCTCTAGTACATACATGCCTCAAGGCAAAAGTGCTGCTAGCCTAAAAAAGCCTTTTGCAGATGAGTCGGAACTGTGGGCTCTTCAGTTGCTCAGAATGAGCTTATTTAAGACAAGTTTAAAGGAGCATGAAGTAATCATAGCAGAAACTGAAGTAAATGTAGAACCTAATTACCTAGGCCTTCACCTCATTTGCCTTGATCTCCTGTTGGTTGATATTAATGGAGCTGCTTGCTGATTTAAAATGTAAAGGATCTGTGCATATTCCTTGGTACTTGAATCTGTGTACTCGTACAAAATAAAAAATACTGTATAATGTAAATGTTCACTTTTTGCAGTGAGGTGAGTGGACGGGCAAGACAGCATGGTAAAAAGAGCAGAACTCTGCCTTACTGCTTGGTTTGCATAAAATACATGCACATTTGCAAAGGTGTAAGCCTGCCAGAGGGTATCTTGTAATGCCGCTGTTTATGGAATTGACATACAAATTATATCAAGCTATAGGAAACTCTGATCTTTTTCAAGCTTTGAATTGGAGCCAAATGGGACTACTTGCCTGGAGATTAGGCCGAGTTTCTAGCAGCAGGAAGGAAAAATGTCATATGTTTGTGATTTCTCAGGCTTGGCTTTGGTTAGGAATACATGTAAGCAGGCTCAGCCTAGGAACTGTTAAAGATTTTAGCTATATATCATTCTCACAGGAGGAAAGAACCTTAATTCTTTTTTCTTAGATTATTCTCCAGGAAGTTATTTTGTGTGATGTCCTATACTGAGAAATGGGTTAAGGGAAGTTTCTTATCCTTTCCCATACTGGGAAAGGGTCATTTTTCTTGATCTGTTAAAAAAGAAATTATTTTCAAGTACTCATTGATATTGCACCTTACCTATAAGACTCCTCATTTAATTTCAACCTGAATATCAGTGCCCAGTATTTCCTAATAATTTTTCATGCTTTTTAAATAGATCTAAAACATGCATAATGTTAAAATATGACCACAGAATAATCATAATATTCAGGCACCACAACATTAAGTTATTATTATTATTATATTATCATCTAATGATCTCACGGATCATGGATTGTAAGACATAAGTGACGGTATATATCTACTACGAAAACTCAGGAACTGCAATACCAGGTCTCAAGCTATCTGGCTGAGTAGCTTTCTTCTGGCAGGTGCCATGAGCAGATATTTATGGGAAGAAAAAGGAAAAAGAAAAGGGAAAAGAAAAAAAAAAAAGAAAAGGAAAAGGAAAAAGGAAAAAGGAAAAAGGACAAAGGAAAAAGGAAAAAGGAAAAGGAAGAAAAAGGAAAGCAAGCAGCAGTCGTTGGTATAACTTTATAACTTCCTAGTTTCTGGCAATCAGTTTAGCAACTATGTCAAGTGACATCTCTCTCAACAGTATTTCCTTTTTTTTGAGTCACACGTATTTGACGACTGAAGTAAAAGCTTCTATGGTTACACTCTGGGAACCTGGTGTGGTTAAAGGAAGAATGGTTTGCGCTTCCAAGCAGTGCCACGTTCCAGCTCCGTTTCCCTCTGGGATGTCCTCAGAGCAGCAGCGTGGCTGCAGGGAGATGGAGCTTCAGGAGCATGTGAGGGTCGGGCCTATTGGAGCCTTATTATAGACATGATGTGTGGTTTTGAAATTAATCTGTTTGTTTCTTGCATCTGAGCGCGAGCCTGCACACTCAGAAATGGAAGTGTTTTTCTCGTTAAATTTAACAAAAAAAATGTAATGAGGAGCACAGGCCATTATCTAATTTACTGTCATTCCTGAAGCTTTTTTACAGAACTGCATTCAAAGTTGCCACGACTGCCATATTATTTGCTGACCAGTTAAGTACATATAATTGACATCTTTGTTAGATTTCAGAGCCATGAGATTGTGTCTCCCTGCAGACTGAATCATGTCACAAGTCAAGCTGAATGCCAGAGGAGACACTGCAGGTGGACTTGGTCTGGCTCTCCCAAACCCGGAGAAAAATATGAGGTCAAATCTTGACAGTACTCAATTTAAGATGTAATTTAGTTCTGTTCACTTCAGTGGGTCCAAGATTTCTCCTTTTATTTCGTTTGAGGAAGGAAAACATCATGGCAAGTAAGACTTATTTGATTTCTTTTTAGTACACAAATATTTCTGTGCTGGTTCTCCAACCAGACACAGGAATCACAAAAGGATTGGTAATTTTATATAACCAAAGAATGAACCAGTGGAAAGAAAAGTGGAGATTGTAATGAAGCAGTAGATTTAAAAAGCAATCACAACCCAAACAACAAAATTATCAATGTAAGAAATGTTATTTTAAGCTTCATGCTGCCATTTTCAAAATTAAAAGGGGTAAAAAGCTGCATTTTAAACTTATTACTGAGCTGAAAGTACCTCTTGAAAACTAAGTTCCTCCTTTACCCTGGTCTTTCATTTGCCTTTCACATTCTTGCTGAATGTTACAGTGCGGTTCTTTGAACTTGTGTTTTTTCCCTTTTTCTTTTTAATGTAAGAATGGGCTTTGGTTTGGCTGGCTACAGGCTGTATAGTGTAACATGCATTCCCACAAGTGACAAAGAAAATCCAGGTCCAGCTCAGCCTATAGTTCAGAATTACCCAACCACAATCTTGTCCTTGATACAGACTGTTAACATTATGTTGAATTCCTACAACTATTCCTCTCTCTCTGTTGCATCAGTCAAAAACTGCCTTCTTTTCCATGTCCCTCTGCGTTTTAACTCCTTTTTTTTTTCTCATTTGTTTCTATATACAGACAGACAAAGTCTCTTGGAGTGTCCTGATGACAGTCTCCTCTGCACACCACGTGGATTTCCATGGCTTGCTCCTTTGTTAAGTGCCAAAGAAACCATGACAAGCTAGGACCTGATGCTGGCCAGCATCTCGCCACTCCCCATGTGTGTCCCTTTCTGATCCCACCTTTTCAGGCACAGTTTTCCCAGTTTTCCTGGGCATGTTCCATCCTACCTGGGAAATGTGGCCGCCCTGTGCGCTCTCTGTGTTCCCATCTGCTCAGCCTGGGACTGGACCTGCCACTGCAGCTGCTTTCTCATCTCTCTCTTCAACTTGAGGCTCTCTAGAGATTTTTTGATTTATGGGCATTATAGATTTGCACACATATGTATATTTACATATATAATTAGTACTATTAATTAATATAAATTAATCTAAGAGCAAAAGCTCAACTATAGCAATTATTGTACAACCAAGCCTATCCTGACAGTGAAGGCAGCTTATTCCCTAGTCTCTTTCTGTCTCTTTAAAGCCATAATGTGCTGATGGGCCTTTGTTGCTAAGAACTCAGGTTAACTTTAGCTATTTTATCAAATTCTCTCTAAACCTCACAGCTTTACTTTTAACTCCTAATGTGTATTTTGATATCTACACTTAGAAGGCTGTAACATCAACATACAGCATCACTACCAACAAGGAGAGATGTCCTTGATATTGTATAAAGGAAAATAATAATGGAAATGGAAATCATATCCAGTTAGGACAGGACTTTGGTTATATGTGCTCTATAACACCTCTAGATTCACACTGTGTGTAGAATTTGTGTAGACTGTGTCAAAATCCCAGATCTATAACTTCTCCTGGATGCTTTTGGAAAACAATCTGTATTTCTTACCATTTTCCTGGATTTGGGGCTGGATTGGGGACAGCTGCAGCTCTCAGCCATGCAGGCAGCGTGCGCTGCTTGCCTAGCCTGGCAGAGCTGGCGCTGGCATATTGCTTTTTGCTGAGCGTAATGACGCATCCTTCTGGAAAAGTTCATTGATTAGTCTGGGTCAAACCTTTTCCTAACAAATCTCTCCCTCTGCATTTCACATAACTAACTTTTAGTTTTTAATTTTCCTCCTAACTGCCATTCTTTAGTTGTATCATGCTATTTCTCAAGTGAATCTTTATAAATAAGGAACGTGGTCACTGAGGTGAAATTAAGCAAGCAGCCTGGAGGCACTGTTACCATATGCACCCTATGTAATTACTTCTCATTACTGGGATCCTGC